TAGCAGGAGTCTGCTCGCAAGAGTTAGTGAGTTCACTATTGACATTGGTGTAGGAGTAGGAAGGCATGCTGTTGATTTGTTGGTAGTGGTAGTGAGTGGCTGCTACTGTTCTTTGGGGATTATCCTTTTCATCCTTTTATATGCTTCAAAGACTTCTACTGCATTCTTCAAGTGTCCTTCGGGTTCCTATGAGTTTTCTGCCATTGGCCAGTCTTTCCATCTGATAAGATACTGCGTGTGTCCATATCAGGATCTGTGTGCAAGTATCACCTCCATCGACAATGTCAGGTGATGGTTCTAGGAAGTTCTTGCCATGCTGTGCTGTTTCATAGTAAAGAGATAGCAGAGATGTGTGTACTATGGAATGGATCTTCATTGTGCCCAGTAAGGCTAATCTGTACATGAATTTTGATAAGACCTTCTGGATCTTGAAGGATCCGTGTTGCTTGAAAGCCAGCTTTTTGAGAGAATATCCATCTTTATAATGAGTCATCTCAAGCTACGCCTTCTGATCTTCCTGGAATGGCGTGAACTTCTGATGTAGTCAGCTGGCCATCTGAGCTGTGGTAAATTCAAGTGCTGACTGAGCTTCCTTGTGTGCCTTTTCCCTTATCTGGGGCCACTCATTGACAGAGAGTACTTTTGTTCGTGCAAATACTGTGAGAAATGTTCAAAGATGTGATCCATACATGAAAAAAAACAAAGAGTGCTTCATGGCCAAATATTCTTGATTGTTGACCGCAAATTTGAGGTTGGTGATAAAGTCTGCCCAGTCATGAGAATGATTTGAGCAGAAGATTTATAAGTATGCCTCAATTTCTCTATTCATGTGTTCTGTTTTGCCATCTGTTTGAGGGTGATGAGCTGCGCTCATTCGTCCTTCTACTTTGATTGCTTTCTATAGTTCCTTCATGAATAGCAAGTTAAATTGTGGTTCTCAATTTGAGATGAATTTGTTAGACAGTCCAAACCTTTGAAACACATTACAGCGATACAACGTAGCTGTTTTGATAGTGTCCACTTTCTTGGTGCAAGGGATAATAATTACTTCCTTCATAGAGTTGTGGTTGAGAATGACCATCATTGCTGAGTAGTTGGATGATAGTGGTAGTGCCATAATAAAGTCGCATGTGACGCAGGAGAATGATTGGTCTCAGTAGTGAGTGGTGATTGGCTGCAGCAGTGATTTGGTTGGGTGTGTATTGACCTTCATTTTATGGCATGCCACACATCCTCGTACAAAGAATAAGACAAAAAACCATAATCCTGGCCAGAAGAAGTCACATGCGCCACTAACTCGGCAGTTTTGAAGTATCCTGGATGTTCTCCAACCAGAGAATTGTGGTATGTCTTGACAATACGCTTTCAAAGTGCAAAATTGCTTAGCACATAGCATCTATTCTGGAAGTACATAAGACCATCAGTTATTTGCCATCTATTTTGTGTAGTTTGTGCTGGAAATAACAGCGCTTCATTGTTGATAGACTTTTTGATCATGGTGGCGTACATGTCTATCTTCATGTAGCGTGCTACATGGGCCTTGAATGATTTATCAAAGGTTGGTTCTAGCATCGTGTCACTTTGTACTGCAAGAAAGTCTGTAGCGATGTGCAGAGACTGAATAGCCATTGTTGCAAATACTTTGTTGGGTAGAAATATTAAATCCACATTGTCATCTGCTATATGTGTGGGTGTGTTCTTAGTGAGTGCATTAGATTGCACAAGTTGGCTTCTGAGACAATGATGCAGCTTGTAATCGAACTGGAATATAAAGAGGTGCCATTGTGCTTGTTATCTGTCGAGTCATTAGGGTGATTAGAAATACGTGAGGTTCTTGTGATCCGTTAGGATGCAGATTGTATTTTTGGCCTCTTGCAGGTAATGATATCATGTTTCAAGTGCTCAAATGATAGCCAATAGTTCTTGGTTATAGATTTCATAATTCCTTTTAGCTGGGAGTAGAGATTGCAATAAATATGCCACTGGATACCAGTCTCCATTGACATCTTGTTGTTGGAGAACTGCTGCAGTGGTGACTAGTGATGCATTACATTTGAGAATGAGAGGTTTTGCAGTGTTGGGCATGATGAGTACTGGAGCAGTGGTGAAGCATTTCTTTAATTCATTGAATGTGTCTTGACAATCTTTTGACTAAATGAAAGGAGTGTCCTTTCTTATTAGTTTGACAAGGGGTTTGACAATATTGGAGCAGTGATCAATGAACCTTTTGTAGAAGTTGCCAAAGCCTAGAAATCTTCTAACTTGTTTATCTGTGGTTGGCGTTAGCCATTTAAGCACGTCTTTAACTTTGATTGGATTCATGGAGACTTGGTTGTGTTCTATAATCATTGCAAGGAATTCAACTTCTGGTACATCAAATATGCATTTTTTGGGCTTGAGGAATAGGTTATTTTCTTGAAGTCATTGTACCACACAGAGTGTCTTTTTTTGAAGGCCTTTTGAGTCATTGCTGCAAATGAGTAGATTGTTCATGTGAATCTGTAGCCAACTTTTTCTGATCATGTCCTTGAAAAAGTTGTTCATCATAGCTTGAAATGTGGCTGAGGAATTATACAAGCCAAAGAACATTACCATTGGCTCATACAATCCTTGTCATGGGCGTAGCCCCAGCCTACTATTATTTTTCCATTTTCTCTGATTTTCTGTGATTTATTCCACATTTGTATGACCCTCCAAATGTTGTCAGCACATTGGCACCAGTTTACAAGTCCTAGCTGTGCACTAAACACCTCAGGACTGCATCACCAATGGGCACACATCAGTGCATCAGATGTGCCTACATCGCTGCTGCCTTATCACCACATCACGCTTTCTCAGTAACAGCCACACTTTGATCTCCATCAGACTTCCTATCTCCAAGTCTGATTGGCAATGAACATCTAATCTCTGTCAGCCCAACAACATCAGATACTATGACACACCAGCTCTTGTTTCTCCACTGAGTCATCTATTATAGGTACAGTCGCTTAGGTAATGCCTGGTTTGTAGGTGATCTAAACAGTATATAAAGACTCTCTCTATTGCTATTTAGTCCCCATTTCAACCTCTTGGTTATTGGGCTAGATGAGCCTTTGTTTTGTATTTAGCATACTTACTAATGAATACCTGCTTATTAGGCTAGCTGAACAAGTTAGTACAATTGCTGCGAGACCGTGCTTCATATCGCCTAGTAGTTAGATCTACGCAGTATTCCTCGTGCTGTGTCAATGCCAGTCCACGTTAATTCTCAACTGGTTTTGAACACCACTTTCTATTGGTCTTCATTTTTAATGCCATAGATGACTTGAAGAGGTGAATATAATCTTTTTGTAAATTCTTGTCAATGAACTCATTGAGTTTTACTTCTTCTTCTGGTGATAACAGATGGACCTTGCAATTCTTGGGTACAAATTCTGGTTTCAAGTCAATTCCATGGTCGTAGAGTTGTGATTCAGAGAACTATTTTACTGCCTTCTTCTTGAATACTTCGGAATATGCTTGGAAGTATTTCGAAATGTCAGCAGCATATTTCTGTTGTTCTGCCTTCTGAGCTAGCTCCATAGCTGGATTGATCTTTGCTCTTATATTCAGCGATAGAATTGCTTCAGTGAGGGAATTTCTGATATCTGTAGTAAGTATTTGGCCAGTTCCTGAGAGATAAAATATAGGGAGAGTTTCTTCGCTTAGATCTTCAAGTTCGTTTACTATGTCAAATAACCTTATTTGAAACACTACCAGGTATAGAGAGTTGCTGGCCATTCTGAGTGCTCAGATAATTATGTCAAGTAGCCTGTTAAAAGCGGATTGAAGTCCAGTAGAATCAAATCCTTCCTTTCCATGTTCTATCTTTGGTAGCAGTGGGACTTTCTTAATGTTAGGTTTTAGTGCTTATTCTATAATGAGTTGTGCTATCTGCTCTTCTTCCTTGACTTCAAACAGAATATCGTTGTTGTTGACCAAGATGACTTGTACTTTGCCTGTATAATCTCTGTCTACTACTTCTGCAGCAACGTCAATTCCTTTCAAAGCTAGTCTACATCAGGAAGCAATGTGAGCGTATGTTCCTTTTAGTGGTTTAACTTTAATGCTAGTGGAGATTTTCATTCTAGATTGTGCCAAGATTGTTACTGTTTGGAATGTCATTAGGTCGAGTCCTATGGCCTTTTCACTATCTCATGTTGAAATAGTTCCTCCTAATCTTTCAACCAGAATATGATCCTTAAGATTGTCATCAGCTGTGACCACCTGGATAATTCTTTCTTCATCATTCAGGAAGTCTTCAATGACCACTTTTTGTGAAGTGAAGTCTAGTGTTCCTGCTCGCCAGTCAATTTGTGGATTGTTTTCCTTGAGCCAATCCATTTCTAGAATGACATCTTGTTTTTCTAGGTGAATGACGAGAAGTTGTTTCTTTTGTTATCTATCATTGATGAGAAGAGTGAGTTCTACATAGTTGCAAATGAAATCTAGCTGGTTGGGTGTGCTGTTTATATTAAATACTGAAATGGGTTATGCCAGAGGTTTTTCATTTAGTCCTGCTTTGCAGACTATGACTTGGTCGATGAATTTTCCTTGTGCTCCTGAATCTATCAGAGCTTGGACTTTGGTTCTAGCGTTCTCACTCAATTTTAAGGTAACCAAAACCTTCATAGACTGTGCTTGCATATCAGCTACTAGTACAGATGAAAATGAGAGTTGATGAGGTTCAACAGCTGGTGTTGACCTCACTGGATAAAATTCTTCTGTGTTTCTGAGTGTTTGCTGTGATATTTGCAAGCAATTCTGTCAAATCATTTGATAGGAAGCACTTAAATGGCATTTACATCCAAGGGCCTGGTGGCATCTGATGAAGTGATGGTGATGCTGGAGGTTTCCTCTATCTGAGTAGCATGTATGAATTGTCCATTGTTGGAATATCCTTAGTATCCTCCTCGTCAGTTTTCTTGTTGACCACTACATTTTCTGTCTCGACCTTGTCTGCAATTAAATCCTCTATTGTGTCATTCTTCCTGGCATTCTCTTGTCATATGCCTAAACTTGTTGCAGTTGTAGCATTGTACTTGGTTTCTGCTAACTGCAATTGCATCAATGTCCATCGCGTCTGGGTCTTGTTGGGTTTGGGTCTAATTTCCTTATCTCTAATTGGCATTGCTTGAGTGGTGAGCTATTCCAGCGTTTCAAATATGCAGGAAGATATTGTGGCAGTTCTCATATTCCTGTGCAGCTGCTTGCCATTCTGAAAGCACTGCTCCTGCTGGCATGTGAGGAAGTAGTGTTTTGCTAATGAAATGGTCAATGCTGCAGAAGTACTGCTGCATAAGATTACCATCTGCATCAGGATTGACTACTTGGGCTTCAGCTACAAAGGTGTTGAATCTGATGTTATATCTATTGACTGTTTCATGGGCATTTTGAGTTATATAGTGAAAATCAGCCATGGCTTTGGGCTTTGAATCTTTCATTTTATATGTGTTTAGAAACTTGTTTTTATGTTCCGTCCACATAGGCCATTTTTGTACAATGTAGAGCCTTTTCTATACTGTGGCCCATGAGTTTGGCTTCTTTGCCTTGTCATCTTTTATGAGGGAATTGGAAAATTGAATCTTCTAATCATTGGCCCTGAACTTGTTGGGTTATGATTTTTGAATGTAATAAAGAAATGTTCTATTTGAAGTAGCACTTTGGAAGTTAGTTTACTTTCAGACCAAAATCTACCTAACTCTCTGTAGTTATCAATATTTGAGCTATTAACATGAAACTTGGCCTCTATATACCTATTACATAGTTCTACATGACAATAATTGTTTGAACATATAGAAATCTGTTCTGGCTCTTCAGCACTGTGTTTTGTGCTTGAGCTAGGAACTTAGACAAATTTCACAGATAGACCATTCTCAAAAGGCACAACATTTAGATGATTGTTATACAATCAGATAGAGCATGTTGAGAGAGTCCAGAATATAAAAAAAGATATACCAAATTAATTGTTTAAAGAGGTGATTTGGAAAGAACAAAGCATGAGAAAATGCTAGATTAAGCACACAATAGGCGCCACAGCACGTTTTGCCCTCTTCATCACTTTTACTCTTTCTCACATATTTTTGTCCATTGATACCATGTAGCATAGGGTCTGCTATATACATACTAACTGTATACCTAGTATGAGAATAGTTCAAGATCATGGTTCAGTGATAAAGTGCTGACTACTGGCTTTAAAGCTTAGTGCACAGTGTTGCACAATGGATTGTGAACCTGACAGTGGCTACAATCATTTACTATTTTATATTTCTATTGTCCATACTAGCCAGCACCACTGTGAATATATTTAGAATTACTAGAAGTTATTTGGAATTACTGAAAATGTGCTATACATTCATTGCTCTTACTTCTCTCTACAGATTAATATATGTCCATAATTCACATGGATATTCTAAAAGTCTCCCTTACTGTGCCTTGCAAGTATTAGGCTACTATATTGTACATATTCAGACATATGAGCTTATAATTAAGCATATAGTTATGATCTTGTGTATAAAGTTTAATTCTAAAAGCTACCACACTTAGTAGCTATTCTACTCCATTCTACCATCTCACAACACTTATATATATCTTATAGAAATATATAGTCCAACTATCTGCCATGATATCACTTCATTTTAATCTTCAAAATTAAAAATCATCGAAATGAAAAAGATCCCCCAGCCAGAATTAAACCCCCAACCTCTACCCAATAAGGCAACTGCTCTCCCAAAATGCGCAATTTGCCACCTCAGACCCAACTGAAGGGAGGAGTAAGTATACCTCATACACTTCTTTCACCTTAACCATCACTATTTCTGTTTATAATATGCTTCACAAGTGTAACTTCTCCAAGTCTTCATGGGGATTTGGTTTGCCCCTGATCTTTCACCTTGCTTGCTACCTTCTGGTGGCTTCTACTGGCACTTTCTTAGACAAAATCACTTCACAAACCTTTGACACAAACTTTGAACTGAACTGGAATAAAATGGTTAGAGGTACCATTTGTAAAAGCTTTACCCTGTCTTGCTCAGACAGGCTATTCAAGCAGAGCAATCCAGTTGAGATTGAGTGGAGCCTGGGTCATAAATGCCTCCAGCCACTTTGTGGTATGGTTACAGGGGCCATCTCCAAAAGCCCTGTCCTGTCTTCTGGCTTAGACAGGCTAGACTAAAAGAGCTTCCCAGTTGAGAATGAGTGGAGCCTGGGATATAACTGCCTCTAGCCACTCTGTGGCATGGCCACAGAGGCCATCTCCAAATGCCCTGTCCTGTCTTCATGCTCAAACAGGCTAGAACAGAAGAGCATTCCAGTCCAATATGAGTGGAGCCTGGGTGAACAAAGCTTTTAGCCACCTTGTGGCATGGCTACAGAGGCCATCTTTCCAAATTCTGGCTTGGTTGCAGGCACCAGGTATAATCCAATAAGCCTTGCACTGTGTGACCAAGCAGACAGTTTAGAAACTAGTAAACTTGTGAACCTATACTTGACTACTGGTGGAAATGAAACAATGAGCCTATACTATTGTAGCTAAGCTAACTCAGCACATTTGTACACAATGTCCAGAGTTTCTAACTGTATATGAGCGAAACAAAGATAACAAGTCACATGCCCAAAGAAGTAAGGCATACTATCAGTCTCATTCTACAACAATTCAACAAAGAAAACTTACACAATACCATGAACAAAAAGCAAGCAGTGAAGACTACAAATCTCAGAAAAAGGAGTATGACCAGGCCAAATATAAAAGCTTGCAGTTTCCACCAAAGCCCCCAACAAATGACCTGATTACTGATATTGTTAATGGCTTCTATGAGCAAACATCCTTTGTAAACCTTGAACAATATGGCTGTGCTGTATGTGGTGCTTTAAAGTCAGTCAAAGAGTTGACTTTACTTCAAGATATTGACCAAGGCTTACTGACCTGCTTACAAGCCTCTGATATAACCCGTTGTGAAAGACAGTCTGCAAAGCAACCAATTGATGATATATCTGGTCCTGTACTTGATAAGAGCTGTAGGCATATATGCTCAAAGTGCCATGATAGCTTGCAAGAACAAAGAGTTCCACACTTAGCCTTGGCTAATGGAACAAGTGAAGGAAACTGCCCATTTACTGTCCATACCTTGACTTCTGATCAGCTTACTGACTTGCGCAACAGAGATGAGCGTAGGACTATTGCTGTAAAGTGCTCATTGCCATAATACATAAATCCACATAGCCTGTACTTGCATCTGTCCAAGTCCAGTATAGAAGTCCACTTGACAGTAACTTCATCAACTTTGAACTTGAGAAATTGAGGCATATCATCTATGATTACTACCTTCACTAGCTTGGTACCACAGCTGTTGCATGTTGTATTGGCTATTTGTCTTGTGTTGGCATGTAACCACTCTAGTGGAGTTCTCTTATGGGCAGTATCACTCATGATGCCTTGCCTCTGCCATCTGTATAGGGAGTATACAAGGAACAAGTCAGAATAGGTCATATTCTTGCTTCTACCAATGATCTCACTGGTCTCACATGATGTGCATATGTATTCCTTGTGCCAGAAGTCCTCTAATGGTCCAAGCATATAGCTACATAGCTCATAAATTTCAGTGCCCTCATTGGCATGTAGTGGGAACTCTACAGGGTCTATCTTATGCAGCTTAGCTCTGATTGAGTCTCTGGCAGTGTTCAAGGACAAGTCCTTCCTTTCTGCTGACTTGCATGCTTTGACAAGTGAAGTTAACATAGGTAGTTGGTTTGAAGTCAACTTCCAAATCAATTGGACTGGATCATATCTCACTTCATTTATCTTGTCTCTGTGGGCATTCCATGAGGTGATGATGGATACATAGTGAAACCTGGGATCTGACAGCTTGGGTCTACCATTTGCTTGTCCTACAATCCTTGAGTTCAGCAACTTAATATCTGCATCTGTGCAGGCTCCATAACGCATATTTTCCAAGCAATTCCTTAGCTTCCCATCATTTGCTGTCTAACTCTTCTGTCTCATGTTCTGCTTCAGAATAACCACTGTAGTAAACTGGTGCCACAGAGCCTTACCAATAGCTACCTTCTGGCTGTGTACAGAGTGTGTAGAGTGTTGAGCAGATGTAACACTTCCAGCATACAAAACATTACCAGAGGCTATAGGTTGCAGTTGAGCAAAGTCTCCAGCTACAATGATGTTAATTCCTCCAAATGGCTCATCAGGCTTATTCCTGGCTATACACATCTGCTCACATATCTTGTAGAACTCATTGTTATCCACCATTGACACTTCATCCAGGAAGATATACTCTCCACCATGCAGATTGTCTACAGCAGCAGATGCTGAACTATAACTTGAATATTTATCTTGTCCATCATAGGCACTGAAGCCCAGCACATGGTGATAAGTAGATCCTCCAATGAGTGAAGCTGCAGCTCCAGTAGGTGCCATACACAAGAATCTATGGCCTTCATTGCGCTCATTGAAGAAATGGGTAAGAGCTTTGATTACTTGTGATTTTCCTGTGCCTGCCATGCCGCCAAGATGCATCTTGAGCTGTTCACCAGAGGGCTTGCTAGCATAATTGGCAATGATGCAGAAGGCTCTTATCTGCTCTCTGTTCAAGGGGAACTTCTTGATAGTATCATCAATAAGCTTCTTGGACTCTGGAGATGGAGGTACAAAGAAGTCATCCAAGTATGACTTGTTAATGATTTTAACAGTATTAATATCCTCTGAACTGTTCTATGTCTTTGCCTTCATAGCCTCACTTGTCTGGCCATGCTTAACCTTGAGAATATCTGCTCTTTTATTGGCCAGAAGCTCTTTCCATCCATGTGCTGACTTTTCTTGACCAGATTGGACCTTAATCTGTGTGATCCATGCCTTGATATCTTTACTAGATTTTTCCATAGCCCCAGTAGTATGTAATAAGCGTTCAGCATCTTGCATCTTGGACAGTCTGGCAATATGTCCCTTGACCACTCCTTGTACTCATCAGCTATCCCAGTAAGCTGCTCTTCACTAAGCTGGTCAAGTGATTCAACACCATAGTAAAGATTATCCAGATACTCTTGTATATCCTCATCTATATTAGATGGCATATCACCTGAGGCAAGGCCCTTCTTTCTAGCTGCAGCATCATCTCTGGCATCATTACACTCATAGCGCACTTGGAAGAATTTCATAAGCTCTGATTGTCTTAGAGTAAATAAATGATCAGTAAAGATATCATTCCAGCTGTTCTCTTCTGACTTGAGATTTTTGCCAGTGCGCCAGGGCTTGAACAGAGTAAGCATGGTCATGCAATAGTCTTCCCTGTTGCCTTTATCCTTTCTAGGTAATGCTCCACCAATAAAGTCTGGGACTTTGGCTTCTGCCTCTATGCACATGTGCACATGATGTGTGCTATGTTGTGGATGGTCTTCTGTAGATCTTGCCTATGCTGTGAAGTCATTGGGCTCATCAGAAGTGGTAGGATCTGGATCAGAACTGTCCTTGTCCTGGCTAAACTCCTGCTTGTATTCAACCTCTTCTTCTTCCTAGTCTTCTTGTCTAAGGGACTGATCTTCAGTTGAGTTCCAATCTAGTTCTACAAGCTGATCATTCTCTACATAGTTCTCTTCCTTGACATGATCCTTGGCCATCCTTGCAAGGTCTTTAACATGCTTAACACCAAGCTTAACTAGGTATATGTCAAGGGCCTCCAAATGATTTGCCTCTGATTTGGATATCCAGGTCTGATCTCTAAGATTCCACTACACCAGAAACTGTTCAATCTGGGAGGTAAACTCGACCAGAGGAGTGCTGGAGACCACAACTGGAGGTTGTGGATGAGCAACTGAAGTTTATTAAGGCAAAGATACAACTACTGACCTGGAGGTTGCGGACGAGCAACTGAAGAAGGCCCAAACACAAGCCTCCAGAGACATAAGGGCGCATCAGAAGGCGCTTATCTACTTATCTAATCAGATCCAAGCCTGACACTGGAGCAGATGAAGTAATGGTCTACTGTGGATAGAAAGAGAAAGAAAATAGCGAAAAAGATGAGGATATTCCAGGATATAGAGATATGGGAGAGAAGAATGATAATAGGGCAGAGAAGCTGTAGCAACACAGGAAATAACAGAAACTTCAAACTTCGACCTGTCCACTTGTGTGACATGAAGATCTCATTTACAAGAAACTCTCCCTCTCTTTCATTGCCTTCAGCCATTCTCTTAGACATCTTGCCTTTCACCAATCTTCTTACCCAGTCATACAAGCATAATGACTCATACTTCTCAGGTCTATACATGTAATCCATCACAGTGTTAACTCCAATGACTTTGCCTCCATTGTTGGCTATTACAATCTTCTGATCTTCTGACTGATTCTTCTTGCCTTCCTCTCCAGATAGAGCAGGTTCCCATGCTTTCTTGACCTCATTCACATATGATCTCCAATAAAACCTTTGGAATAAGTGACTGGTGTAGTGGTCTGGATGGTCTAGCAGATACATGCATGCCATGGGGCCACCAATCTCACTTTGTGAAGTCAGAGAGTTTACAACCTTTGTGAGTACCTTTCTGACCTTGACTGCTCTGCTATCCTGCCCAGCTAACATCTCTGACTCTCTGGCAAATATCCTCTTCACAGCTTCAAACATGGTGTGTGTCTTCAATAGTGACTTGGTAATATAGTCTGTAACAAGCTACAACAGACTTGATAGCTGTACCAAATAAGTAAGCTTGTGACATCAGTGTTGCATCTCAGAAGATATGTAAGCACAGGTGGAAAGGTGTTAAGCATGGCCTCTCCTTTCTTCAAGCTCAGAGCACCTGTCTCTGGATCTACCTGAGTCTCTAGCAGGATTGGACGAGGAAATATGCATTTGCAGGTACCATACTTGTTGTTCTTACAGCCTTTGTTACAGGAGTGCACATTGGCCAAGAAGAGCAACTCATTCACTGTCTTAGTGAACTGTTCCCACCATAACATGCTTGAATTGCAGGCTATACACAAGTGTTGGCAATCACTACCACATGGAGAAGGTACAGACTTTGGCAAGGTAGTTGTAGGATCCTGTCTGGAAGGGTTCTTTGCTCTCTCCACCTCAAGATCATTAACTACCTCTGTCATGGTCTTGCCAATAAATTCGCCTATATGCACACTTTCCAAATACTCCACTATTCTCTTCTGGAACTCTGACTCTGAATCCATCATTTTATCTCTAATTTCTTGAGGAGTTAAAGAGTGCTTGATCCATATAAGCATGTGCATATGTGGAGTCAATCTACCTTGCTGTTCAACAGTTCCATAATATCCAGCTGTCTTGCCATACAATCCTGCATGTTTACTGTTGTAACCAAGCACATGTTTGATAAAAGCTTCAGTCATAATCTTGAAAAATCGAGCTCCAGCTACAGGATTATTTGCTATAAGCCTAAAGCGTTCATTCTCTGATAGCCTGGCAGGGAAAATTCTCTCATTGGTGTCTGCAAGATAGATGGCAATTGGATGCTTAATATCTGCAGGAGCATATGTAATAAACCAACTTGGAGCACCAAGATATGATGTCAAGAACCAGATCTGGTTTCTCATGTGCTTGTGGCATGTTCTAGATGCAGGTACATGTGCTCCTATATAGTCTATATCATTGATAATTTGCAACACTCTTGTTGCTCCGGTGTCAAGTCATCAGTCTTTACAAGGCCTTTCTCAAGCTTCTCAATCATTTCTGTAAGCACAAAGTCCTTGGTGTTGAGTAGATGAGTAGAGATTTGGTCAAAGTTGTTCTTGTTAGCTAGCAAATAACCTCCAGTAGTAGTCTACTCAATCCGCTCATGATTAAAGCCTTTCCACCTTGTTTGAAGTGTTTCGAAGCCTTGTTTCTGATAGTCCCACGCTCATCTCTGTTGAGCAGGTCAGTAAGCTGATGAGAAGTCAAGGTATGGACAGTAAATGGGCAGTTTCCTTCACTTGTTCCATCCTCTTCCTCATTATCATTTACAGCCATAGATTCTGCATTTTTTGTGGTCTGTGCTTCAGGGTAATCTACATTGACAGGTGGAACATTTTCTGGATACTCTGCCATATTGTCCTTAGAGATTTCAACATCTATGTAGTCACAGTGATTAAGCTTGAGCTACTTCAATGCAGCTAACACATAATTATATCTGATTAAAAATGGTGTGCACTTGTAATCCTTAGGTGTAGGCCTAGTTGGACCAATATACAAGAATGCCAATACATCATCAAGTTCCTCACGCTTTGGTGGTAAGACTGAGAGTATTTTAGGCATAGATACAGCACGACATACAGCATTTGCTCGCAATTTATGCATTTTTGACTTGGATACTCTTACAACACAATAGTTTCTGATCACCTTGGCTATGAGCAGCTGCTCAGTCCATAATAAGCCTTGGAGCTGTAGTGGAACTTGACCAATCCAAAGACCATTAGCTAAGGCTAAGTGAGGAATTCTTCGTTCTTGCAAGCAGCTATCATGGCACTTTGAGCATATATGCTTACAGCTCTTATCAAGTACAGGTCCAGATATATCCTCAATTGGTTGCTTTGTAGAGTCTCTCACAACAAGTTATACCAAGAACTTGTAAGTGGAATAGCAAGCTCTGATCAATATCTTGAAGTAAAGTCAACTCTTTGACTGACTTTAAAGCACCACATGCAGCACGACTTTATTCTTCAAGGTTTACAAAGGATGTTTGCTCACAGAAGCCATTGACAATGTCAGTAATCAGATCATTTGTTAAAGGCCTTGGTGTAAATTGTAAGGCCTTATATCTGGTCTGATCATACTTCTTTCTTTGAACTTTATAGTCTTCATTGCCTGTCTTTTCTTCATGGTATTGTGTATACTTTTTCTGTTGTATTTTAGTAGAATGAGACTGGTAATATGCCTTACTTCTTTGGACATGTGACTTGGTATCTTTGTTTGGCTCATATACAGTTATAAACTCTGGACAATGTGTACATTTATGCTGAGTTAGCTTAGCCACAATAGATGCTCTTTCACTATGCATCTTGCTATAAATTGCACCATGCTTCTGGCCAATTGTAATAAGTATGTAATTTGTAGCTCTGTTACAAAGAGCTGATAAAGGAATAGCAGCTGTAGTAACATTGGAGAAAATATTTCTATTTGAAGCCTGTATATAACCAGCAATACAATAAGTCTTGCCTTGCACTACATTAGCTATAGGATTAAATTCCAATAACTCCTCAGCTGTCCACTTTTGTTTGGACTGTACAGTATTTATACCTCCACCAATCATAAACTCAGGTGATTCACAATCATCAGTCAGTTTCTGTGATATTAGCTGGATAGACTTGGTTAGATTGAGATCATAGGAGAAGTAAGTTGAAGAGAATATGACTAATTTCCTTAGCTGATTGATAAAATCATGAGAATACTGCACATGTTGATATAGCAGAGTATAAACCATGTGTACAGTGTCAATAACTTGTCTGCTAGGTGTAGCATACAGATACTACCATGGTAGAGTATAGTATGAAGATTTATTCCAAAGATCAAGATTCAGGTTTATAGTTTTATTTGTACCAGCAATCAAATACAAGTTTACAAGTTTACAAGTATTTAAACTGCTTGCTTGGTCAGACAGTGCAGGGCTTATAGGAGTAAAGCTGGTGCCTACAACTATGCCAGAATTTGGAGAGATGGCCTCTGAAACCATGCCACAAAGTGGCTGGAGTCTATCTGGACCTGTACTCCACTCATTTGTGACCAGGCTGCTTCTAGTGGTGTTTATACTGCCTGAGCAGGGAAACAGTACAGGGTTTCTGGAGATGGCACCTGTAGCCATGCCACAAGATAGCTGGAAGCATTGATTACCCAGGCTCCACTCATATTGGACTGGGATGCTTTTTTGGTCTAGTCTGTCTGAGCATGAAGACAGAACAGGACTTGTATAAATGGTGCCTGTTACCATTTCATTCCATGTGTTCAGTTCAAGATTTGTGCCAAAGGTTCCCAAAGTGAATCTATCTAAAAAGGTGCCAATAGAAGCCACCAGAAGGTAGCAAGCAAGGTAGAAAATAAGAGGCAAGCCAAATCTCCATGAAGACTGGGAGAAGTTACATTTGTGAAGCATGTTGTAAGTGGAGATAGTGGTGGTTGAGGTGAAAGAAGTGTATGAGGTGTACTTACTCCTCCTCTCAGTTGAGTCTGAGGTGGCAAATTGCGCATTTTGAGAGAGCAGTCTTATTAGGTAGAAGTTGAAGGTTCAATCCTAGCTGGGGAATCTCTTTTATTTCGATGATTTTTGATTTTGAAGAATAAAATGATGTTGTTATAGGCGTAGCCCCAGCCTCCTATTAATTTTCCATTTTCTCCGATTTTCTCCGATTTATTCCACGTTTGTACGACCCTCCAAACGTCGTCAGCACATTGGTGCCAGTTTACAAGTCCTAGCCATATGCCAACACCTCAGGAACGCATCAGCACATCAAAACACGCCTGCATCGCCGCCGCCTCATCACCACTTCACGCTTCCTCGGTAACAGCCGCGCTCCGATCTCTATCAGAACTTCTACCTTTGAGTCTGATTGGCAACAGACATCCAATCTCTGTCAGCCCAACAATGTCAGATACCATGACACATCGGCCCCGCTTCTCTGCTGAGTCTCCTAAATACTAGCAAATGCCATAGCTATCGTCGCTTAGATAATGCCTGGTCTGTGCACAATCTGAACAGTATATAAGGAGCCCTTTTGTCGCTACCTAGCCCCCATCTCAACCTCTTAGTTATTGGGCTAGGTAAGCCTTTGTTTGTATTCTAATATTACTTAGTTATTGGGCTAGCTGAATAAGCCAGTGCAATCGTCATGAGACTGTGCTCTGCACCACCTTGTAGTTAGATCCATGTCATAATCTCTCGTGCTGAGTCAATGTCAGTCTGCAACATTAGGTTGAGATCTCCGTACACCCGAACTCCAGACCCCACCCCCTATTCAGTGCTCTGTGCACAGTTTTAAAAAAGTTTATTCCCTCTGTTTGAAGAGTAAGTCTCTTTAGTGATTGATGGCAGATGTACATCCGCAGCGCTAATCCCTGCATAAAACCAGTGCCCAAGAATTTGCCTGACTGCCCTTGCGCACTCAAATGCCTAGCAGACAAGTGTCACCCCTACTTCTGCTGTGCGCTGCCCAAAGCCGTCTTCGACCAACTTAGTCAAGAGCACAAAGCAGGTGCTCTACATCAATACACCACTGCCGAACTCAACGCTGTTGTTTAGCACGTTTTCACACTCCCACCTCTGTCAACTTCACTCCTGACTATCAACTGGGACGCCATTAAACACGCCAAGCTCGCTGTCTATGATAACTGACAGCATTACCAGGCTCAGTGAGATCAGGCCAGAGCCAGGCAAAATGTGCATGCCAGCACCTCCTTCAGCTGCTCTCTAGCAGATTGCATCACTGCTGCTTCCACCTACATGTCCATTGCTCCGAAGCAGGTCACTATCGACTTCTCCAAATACACAGCCACTGACCTCACTTGCATCTTTACATTAAAGTTCGCCACTACACTCAAATGGTTCAATGTCCTCGAGACACTCGACTGCTCGAGTGTCATTGACAAAGACATTAAAACTGTCTTCAAGCTCAGGGACCATCTTGCCCATCTCTATTGCACTATCAAAGACGTAGCTCGCATCATCAGCATCGAGGAGTGGAATTGTTGGGACTCAGGCTTGAAGAAAATAGGCGGGATCCCGTTTAAAGGACTACAGCGCAACCAAGTCTGAATTTTTATAGTGCTTTGCGCAGTTTGAAACAATGGGTATTTCAATTAGAGTAGTAAAACTGGACGAATATATTCTTTTCAAATATGTAGACTACAAGGAGGAAAGAATCCTCGATCCACACATACTAGACTATGTGCTCAAACACCTCGTCGAGCTAGAAATAGCAAAATTATTTCAAAGCTCCCTTTCCACTCTCTATAAACCCATTTTCCATACTTGTAAACGAATCGGACATTGTGGCAGATATTTGTCTAGTGTGCGCAGTGCTCCCCCACACCTGTCACTTTTAAGAAGCTCAGGACTATCATATTAATAACAGAGAGAATTTAAATACTTGCACAAATTACCTCTGCCCAAATCATTACTACGAACACCCCACAGCTCCTGTCACCACCAAAGTCCCGCCTTATCTGTTCATAAACAAAGAACAAGAGCAAGAATTCCGCAGCTGACATAGACTGGACGAGCACATCACCAACCACAGCGAGCTTACCCTTGGCAATCTCAGTCCACCAACTGTTGAAATGGATCAGCCTGTTAACAGACCTCCTGGCCGGAACACTTTGACCGATCCTCTGGCTGACCCTGCCACACCAGTCTACCAGGCTGCCATGCAAGATATAATGGATCTCTTGTCTACACTCATTCAGAATGTCAATGACCTCATGACAAATGTAAACCGGTTTATTGCAAATGCACATTCAGCTGCGACTGCATCAGTTTCTGCCACCCGGTATTGGTCTATCATCAAAAAGCCGGCTACATTTAACAGGAAATCATCGAAAAAAGCCAGACTCTTTCGTAGTGCCTTCTGCATCTACATCAGGGCTAACAAGGAAATGTTTGTGCAACGTGATGCCAATGACGCTAGTTACTATGATGCAAATAATAACTGGTTAATGGACGCAAGTAAAATGATCTGCGCCATCCTCTTGTTTATGACAAAGGACGCTGCAGTCTGAGCTCACTCGCACATTGAAGAACTTTCCAGGAGACGAACACCATTCAACTCCTTCTGGACAGAATTTGTCAAACAGTTTTTGGCTAAATTCGAACTAGTGGACACTAAAAACGAAGCCAAGCAGAAGCTCATATCAATTAAACAAGGCAACCGAACATTCGTGGATTATCTTTCAGAGTTTGAAACCTGGTCACATCGCACTGGATGGTCTGAAGCTGACCTATACAATCATCTCAAATCTGGCATGAATCCTGACTACATCAACTGTTTATCCTACTTCCCCACCCTGGCTACAGATTACGCGACAGTTAAAATGTACAGTGCAACAATCGATCTGCAAAAAGTAGACTTGATGGCCAATCAAGGCAAACTAGATAGTCTACTTAGATGCACTGATAAGGCCAGACTGCCTCATGCAGTCATCACCATCACCATCATAACCAGGACAAGCTGGTGTTAATGGCAACGGCTGCAAACAGAGTGCATCGGCACCTTGAGATGGTGCCGATGGCTGCTGATGGGGCATGTTGGCATTTTGAACAGGAGCAACCTTCTTGCAAGGCAGCTTTGCGCTGCCTAAAATTGTGAGTTCACTGGCAAAGCTATTCACATAGACTACTCACTGGATACGGACATTTTTAGAGGCAGATTTAGGCTCAGTGTCGGTGTTGACCTTAACAATCTATTTCTCATTATCGGACATGGGCTCGAGAAGGGGCAGAGAGACAGTACAGCATCTGATCACCTCTGAAAAAGTAGAGATGTGGTGCGCAGGGCACAGAACATTGCGAGTGCAATCTAGGAAAGGTTGGCTGTGCATGGCCAATGAGAGAGAGTTGGTTGAGACTAGCAAGCACAATGACGTGCCTGATAAACTCTAGAAAAATTTCATATTAGCCATGGGAGCAACTGCAAAGGGAAGAGAGGCACAACATTACATCTGCTAAGACTGAATGCAGCCGAATCGCAGCAACACAGTGTTTTCAATGTCCATAATGGTGGCATGCTGTGCACGATTACTCAATGCTGCATGAGCCCTCAGAAAATATTACCACAATGATGAACACACTAGACATATCTGAATGTGAGGAAGCTGCAATGCACTCGCTAGATATGCTGTTCATGTCCACCAGCTAGATAGTCACATCGGTTGAGCCTTTTACTGGTGAAAATATGTCTCTGCAGAACAAAGCTGTGCTTGAGCACGCCAAAAATCTGCTAAACGTACTTCCACATCAGTCAAAGATGAGAGCAGAATGTTACACAGCAAAGAGTGAAAGGGCTGGAAATTCTGGTCATTTTCATGGCGAGACACTTGCTTACCTTTCACAGTACATAAAGAGATACAATGACATCGACAAGATGGTGAAAGAGAAGAACATGCGCCAGGGAAAATTTTGGCATGATGTGGGAGCTAGGTTTTGGAAGGTCGTGACCATTGCAGAGGCTAAAGAGAGTATGAGTGGAGCTGCAGGATTATTAGATGATGACATAGTTAACACTACTAATGAGGTAAGCATATCATCAATGACATAAATTGGCCAGCTCATATATCTCATGTAGTCAATGAAAGCATTCTACTGCTGAAAGAGCAAAATCACAAGTGACAGCAATTCCAATCCATGAACTGCTGTCTTTCATAACTTCATCTCTCAGGCTACTGAACTATGCGCAATGCCACTATAGCAGTACTACTACACTAAACATAGCGATTGGGTTACTGAGAAATACAACTGTCATAGTGGCAGTGTGACAGCAAATCGACTGAAAGTTTGCAACAAAATCACGTGCAATTTGTTTGACACACTGCTGAGAGACAAGAAAGTAGCCTTCGAGAAGGAATACACAGCCAAGTTTGAGGCAGAGAATGGACAAGTGGGAGCAGAATTTAGACATGGCAAATATGGAAAATGTGGTAGTATTTTCTGAGATGCAAGCAGAGTAAGCATTCATCACATATGAAATAATAAATATGTGCTAATCTCACGTAAAGCTAGGGTTTGTCTATCGCACTTTGTTGCCCCATTGTTGAGATGCATTGCACATCACACTGGCATGCCATGTATATATTTGATCATGGGTGCAGCACCAGAAACGCGCGATGGCGACCATCGCTTTCTCAGAGCGCACGTTGAAAAGAGCCTTGGTCTCTCGCCAAGAAATTTCAGCAAGTTTGACTTGGTCAGCTATACCCAAAACATCATTGGAGAGTTCATGAAATTTGTCCAATCTACATCATATAAGTAGCAAATTCCTTGAATGAGTATAAATACTGAGACATACTGTAAAAGGTGACGAGACTCGGCTCTAGGGAGCAGCCAGTTCATGCCAAGAACACCACCACCTTTCAAGTTCAGCTACACAACCTGTTCGAGCAAAAGTGCCAGGATCGTGCGAAGGAGGCTGCATCAAAGGCAAATGAGAAGAAGAAGAAGGAAAAAGGTTGAAGAACTGTTCTCCTACTGCTGCACAAGAGTCTGAAGAGAGTGCTGTGCCTCCAACAGCTGCTGATGCTCCCAATACTACATCTTGCACATGTACACCACTTTCAAATACCACAGTTGCGCTCCCTGTTCCTGTGGCAGATTTATTAGCAGCAGCTTTTGTTGAAGGAGAGAACGCCCACCAGACTAGCTTTCAGCTAACTATTCAACAAGGAACTTTAAACCAAAGAAGAAGGCAGTGGCAGCAGTGGCATTGTCAGAGAATGCGAACGGGGCTTCGAGACATGAGGTTGAGCTGCTGTTAGAGGATAGAGGACAGAGAGGGATTGCAAGGCTTGATGCTTTGAGCCTTAGGGGGTGGAAGAAGGACTGTGCGATGCCAGCCACAAATATCGATCCACCTGACACCCAGCCAATGTTTGCAAGTCTAGAGCAAGATGATGATGTGTCTTCTTTGCAGAATCTGGCACCTGCTAGTCTGTTCACAAGCAAGCCTAAAGCTCAAAATGGCTTTCTACTTGCAGAGTTGCCGGAGCTTCCTAGTCTGATGCCCTTTGTGTCTGACCTGCACAGGCTGCCTATTCTCTCTGATGACTCCAGTGCACTTGTATTATTTGGCCCACCTGAGAATAACTTTAATGATGTCAGCTTGTTCATTGATCCAGAGCTTCTAGTGTCATCACTGATTGCAGGCATTGTCGTTAAGATGACGGCACCTGAGATTGTCACAGCTGAGCAAATCTCGGCTGTTTCTAAACAGGCTTTTGATGCCTTACCCACACGTGCTGTGTTCTCTTCAATCCATTCCACCGCTATAACACTTTCAAATGCTTCCCCTTTCTGTATATGTCCAGCTGTCCTCTTGTCGTTGCTTACACCCCAGCCGCTCTGATCTCTAACACGCCTTCAGTTGACTTTAGCCCTAGTACACCCACTCTATCAATATTGTCAGGTGGCGCCACCTCTCGTTTGACCTTACTTGTATTTTCAGAGGCCGAGGTCAACCTCAGTGGATGTCTGAACTGGCTATTACAGCACTACTAGACATTTGCTGACAAAGATGTTCTGGAGGAGATTACTGGAATGAATGGGGCTGCTGTGCAACTGGGTCACTTATAAGTGCGAGATGCAGTTTGCTTACCTGGTATGTCCTGTTGCGTTTTTGTTACTGTGCTTCAACTAACAGTCTCCAGTGCTTGGGTTTTATGCTAGCAGATCACCCTTTGGAGAATGTTTGAAAGATCAAACTGCACAGATCTTTTATCAGTTTGATGCAATACTTTCCAGCACTCTGTTATGCAGGTTCTCTGGCCAAATACTGCAACTGTTTCCCATATCCCAACACTCCAATATTTTAATACACTGTTTTATGTTATAGAATACCCTAGAAAACATGTGCCATACAAGGAAGACAATACATGATATATTAGATTTAGGCGCTTATTTTCGTTTTATATCAGAGAAGGTGCAGAACATATGTTTGAGCAAGTTTTCCATATAAAACATATGTTAAAACTCAAAATTGGATGTGTTATTCACAAAATACTCACTGGAAGCCGAGTTTTTGCGGTTTTAGAGCGGACTTGATTTTTGCCAGCCTGCCATGAACTCTCCATCAGCCTGCCAGTGCCATAAGGCTGCTGCTACCCGAGCTTCTGGCTCTGAGCGCCCAATGAGGTCACGGCATCAATTTCGCTTTTGGGAGCCATTTCTAGCTCAATTCCTGCCCTTCCTTCTATCCAATGGACTCCAAACCTTCTAGCACTTGTAATTATACATGTGTACAGTAGTATCATACAGTTTAGAACGAATTGGACTACTGTATAATATACTGTACCATTGTTTGTATTAAAAATCAATTTCTTTCACCATGGAAGTAGTAGGAAGCTCTTTCAAAAGCTTTTACAGCTCCTTAAATGTTATACCTCCATACTAAATATCTATAGAAGTGCTCCCAAGAGCTTGGAGGGCTTCAGTTGTCCAGAAAACCTTTGCAGAGCCTGCGAAGCTTGTTAAAAAAATGTTACATATCAGCTATTGTCTCATGCTGGGAGGTGTCACTTATAGTGTAACATATGATGGTTATACTCAGTTTTTGATTTCAGACCTTAGAAGGTTTCTGATTAAGCAGATCTTATTATTTTCTATGAGTGCTTAATGGCTGATTTCGTCCAAAAATACCCTCCTACTAGCTCAACCACTTAGAATAAGATGAGTAGACCGTTTCCAATCACTTCTCAGCCTATGAAAACAGAGATATACAACTTTCTAAATCTAGAGAACATGTATTGATAGAGCAGTGCATCAGTTAACCCTGAAGGGACACTTTGATGAAGTTCTAACCAGTTCAAAGGCACCATCCTTGCACAGGTGTGTGCTTGGCTCCTACAGCATGGTGGAAAGAGAATCACCACCTGGAAAAGATTAGAATATGCTTGGACGGTGTGTATGTAGCTGCATTTGTCTTATCCTAGCCTGTAAGCTTCTGCATGTCTTCATATGTGGTGCTTTTAAGACCAGTTTGCATACCCATGTTTTTGAGTATAGTTTAGTCCTTTAACAGTGTGCTAGAGCTTCAAAAACTTGTAAACACTATCTATTACTATAGTAGCACATAAATGAGCGTTTGTACCAAGAAATAACCAGTACTAAAGACTGGTAACAGTATCCAAGCTGGTATGATTGCATTGAGGGTTCTGACCTCCTGCCTACATTTCTGCATGTTATCCAGGCCTTTAAATTGCTTTCCCATGCTGAGATAATATATATATATGTGCCCAAGACCATTTGATTTTGTCCTAATCTCTATATAGAGTGCAGGATCATCTGTTTCTAGTCCTCTTTTTCACTTTAAAGGCTATATATTATCTATTATAATGCATACATCAGAGGAAGACATAAAGGTCAAAATATATACTACAAATGTGTACTAGTATTTATTCTAACACTTGCCCTGACAGTTCTATGAGAGGAAAAAGAAGAGAAGCAGGCGCAATGGTCTGCAGAAGCTAGTTTCCCGCACTCTGGCACTGATTTCAAATCTGGAAGCACTACCATATATATCCAAAAAAGAGCTGGCTTCTGGCGAGTATTTTATGAATAACACATCCAATTTTGAGTTTTAACATATGTTTTATATGGAAAACTTGCTCAGACATATGTTTTGCACCCTTCTCTGATATAAAACGAAAATAAGTGCCTAAATCCAATATATCATATGTTGTCTTTCTTATATAGCACATGTTTTCTAGAGTATTCTATAACATAAAACAGTGTATTAAAACATTGGGGTGTTGGGATATGGGAAATAGTTGCAGTATTTGGCCAGAGAACCTGCATAACAGAGTGCTGGAAAGTATTGTATCAAACTGGTAAAAAATCTGTGCAGTTTGATCTTTCAAGCATGAGCTTAGGGCTCAGCGGATCACTCTAAAGAAATTACCCTGTAGGTGAAGAATGCACATAACAGCTGCATCGTTATTAAGAAGCCCACAGCATATACTCTACAGTGGCATAAGTGGTGAAAACACATCAATCCCAAATGGCATACAGAGATTGATGGTACCTTGACTATTGGAAGCAGTAGTGACTGGAGCTGTATACTCATCTCCAGCACTAATAAGTTTCTCAACATTCTAGAAAGCCTTTTAGACCTTCAAGATGTTAAGAATGATGACGACAAGTGGTCTGCAACCGTGCAAGATGTGTGCTGGGTTATGAGCAAAGTTCTAAGCTGCAAACATGCTCACAGATGAGTCACTGATGTTTTGTAGCATTATATTACCAATTACATGTCCTACAGAGCCAAACGTACCCAGGAGGCTGAACCGGTCAATTTTGCTAGCAAGGAAAAGTGCTTCCAATGCAAGTAGAGGCTGTACATGTGCCAGTGTGCCACCGTGCTGCAACTGGAGTACTGCCACACAACTACACTGTTATTCCTTGCCTATCCTATTATTACCTTGCAAGAACTAGTATATATACCATTAATACATGCACATTCTTAGTGTCAATTATAGCAAAAGCCCAAGAATAATGATTTGTACAGTATTTATAAACAGTATGTTGTTCTCACAACATAGTCAGAGGCTGTGAGCAATGTTTGCTGCTGGAAGCCCATGCAAAAGAGCACTTGAGCACTGTAATCACCTCAGCCCTGGCTAAGTGAACACTACAAAGCAAATCATAGCTGAGAACATGCCAAATGAGGACTGCCGGTGCTTACTTAAGCTTTATATTGAAAGCCAACCACAAGCGAGGCCATGGAAATGGCACAGAAAGCATGCAAGCCAGACTTGAAAACTGATACATTAAGCCTGTAAGAGCCTGTGGATGTCTGATGTTTCAGACATGCACCAAAGAGTGATTGTTTGCATATAGGACCTATCCTGCAACTGACCTCTTTTATTTTTTATGCCGTGAATTTGCAGATGACATGGCTGTGCAAGGTAAACAGGACAAACATGGTAGGATGGACATACAATTCAATTTATATACAAACTGACATACTTCTGATAGAGGACTCTCGCATGCAAATGAGATTGCATGCAGCCACAGCTCCGCAGAGTAGTAGCAGCAAGGCAGCAGCATGTAGACAAAACTTTGATAGTGCATAAGGCCATCAACTGTTACGAAAGATGAGTAACTTCATATGCTAATCTATACAGTACAATAGGCCAGTTCACCTATCACCAGCATGCAGCATCACAACGATGACAGCTAGCTGCATGCTTTCACCATGGCAGGTATGTTTTAAAGCAGTACTTATTATTCATCGTGTGATCATCACTATTTGTACAGGCTCTAAGAAGTGCAAAACCCCTAGAAGCTCTGCCTTTGACAAAGACAATGCTGCAGAACCTATAAAGAGGTGTGAGTAGTTTTTGCTATTTATTTGATTACTGACCTCATTGTTGTATCTAATACCGCTATCAATAGACTTCCATGAGAAGATAAGGCTCATATGTATCCTAAAGGAGTTTGTTCTGCAGAATGAGATGATTATCAAAACTGCCCTGACAGCACTACACATCTTGCCCAACACTCACAAGCAGCCTTCGCACGGAAGCATGTCACACAACCAGCCAACCACCTCCAACAGTCAACATCAGCTGTCTGGCCTTTCTATGAAGAGAGCTGGCCAGGCTGCACAACAAGCTAGTCGCTCATTGCAATAGCTGTTGAATGTCACTAGGGTTCTGTGGGCTCTTGACCAATTTGGTATTTCTTGCTGCATGCATGTTTTAATGATGCTAATATTTACTTTCTTAGTAAAAATCTATAAGGATAATGAATTTCAGCTATAGTCAGCTCAGCAGAGTAAGTGCGTGCATGATCTGTGGCCATTATAACTAATTACCCTATAGAAGGTAAAGACAAGGCAAGGCAATATCAGGATGCATTCAATGACATACCAGTAGAGCATCCCCAGTACAAAGATGTGAATGCAAATGCACACGAAGGCAAAGGCGAGAACACAGATGTATATGAGAACAAGGATGAGAGTGCAGATGTGTGTGAGAATGAGAGTGAGAATAGCAAGGATGAGAATGGGAATAAGAGCGAGGATAAGAATAGAGACGAGAGCAAGAATAGGGACAATGGAGATAATAAAGAATTTGTTCCAAGTGCAACATCTGAGACTGACACTGCAAGACCTGAGATAGATGACAAAGATTGTTGCTGTTATGGGAACAACTTCAGGCAGGCTGCTGCTGCTGTATGAGGCCTGGTAAGTATACAAGCTTTTAAGTATAAGCAAGACATCTTTCACATTGTCCTAGAAACTGGAGCTTGAGTTTAACAAATACATTCCTAAAGGCTTCAGAGTAACTAATAATGACAAAGATGATGATAGAGCTAACCGTGGAGACAGAGCAAGTGAACATGGAAACAGAGCTAACTATGAAGACTATGCTGACTGTGCAAATGGTGCTGACTATGAAGATGATATCAACTACAAAGGCGATGCTGACAGCGAAGATGATGTACCAAAGCAAAAGATATGGTGCAGTAAAACCATTGGGCCTTATCTTATAACTTACATTTATATTGGAGCAAGGTAAATATGTGCAAAAAGTCCACAATGAGGCAAGTGTAACTGTCTTCATCATTTTCCAATATGACTTGATGTAATTTTGCAGCACTCCAAGGTTGACATAGACAAGAACAACCCTCCATGTTGGTGTCAACCAAGCACTCCACCAGCTGGTGGTGCTTCAGCTCACTCATCTGCACCTCATAATGGGCCTTAGCTGACAAAGCTGGTCAAGAGCAAAGAAGGTCAAATTTTGCTGCAGAGTCTTCATCAAGATCTCAGCAATGTTCTTCATTTGTCCTTTGACTTGGTCAAGTATGAACTTTTCAACAATGAAGCCTTTCCTGATTGCACTTGTCGTTAGAAGCTTCAGTTTGCCAAAGATGTCATGCTTTATGTCACAGAGTCTGAAAACAATTAGGTTTTTCTAGATTGTATCAACAATAATGTACAATGGACTTGCAGTGTCTCAACTTTGGTATGTTCACATTTAATGATGTGTGCAGCTGTTAATATGCTTTTAGCCTCACACACGTCTGAGTCAGTATTGCTTAAAAAAAAAGACTGTGATGTTGAAGGTTTCTGGTCACTATAGGCTATACTCTGATGATCCACAATATGCAATGAGAATCAACAGGCTTTTTCAGGGCTAGCATTATATTTTCCCTAGAGACATTATGGTTTGTATGCTACACATGTTATAATAAATTCTAACTATTTGCTGCTTTGTGGTAACATGTCAATACTATCAAGCTATATCTTCATCTCTGCATTGGTGATGTTTTACAAGACTTTCTCTTTGAGACACATCAGGACTGGGCTAATGCTCATGCAAACTCACTAGAGGAAGAGTGGGATGTTGAGGTTATATGCCAAATTCCAGCACTACTTCTTTGCCTTGCACTCACTGCAGTATGCATTCCACCTTTTTTAAAATACAAGCTGCATTGCTAATTTGCATTATAGATTTATTTCACTTTGAGAGACCTACAGTCTGTTAAACCAAAGTCCCATGAATTTTCATGTAACAGGGCCTCTGACACATATGATCGCCATGTTGAGGACTTTGATGATTTGAAAAGGCAGCAACCTGGGGCAGCTATGAAGGTCTTGAAAGATCTTCATAATCTGTGCATGTTGATGTGGACTTGCGTCGACATACTACAAGGGATACTGCATGGATCTAATCAAAAGACGGCGCCAACGAGGTCTGGCAACAAAAGTGTTAGCTTGTTCAGCTAGCCCAATAAACCAAGTGTATTAGTGACTATTCTAAAGTATAAACAAAGACTTACCTAGCCCAATAAACCAAGAGGTTGAGATGGGGCTAGGTAGCAACGAAGAGGGCCTTTATATACCGTTCTGGTCACGCATGGACCAGGTATTACCTAAGCAGTCGTAGCTAGGGCATTTGCTAGTATCTAGGGACTCTGACGAGAAACAGGGGCCGGCGTGTTATATTGTATGACGTTGTCGGACCGATAGGAATCGGATGTCCGTTGTTGATTGGACTCGAAGATAGACGGGGCTGGCATGTCATATCATATGACGTTGTTGGGCCGACGGCGATCAGATGTCCGGTGGAGATTGGTGTGCGGCTGTTACCGAGAAAGCGTGATGTGGTGACGAGGTGGCAGTGATGCAGGCGCATTTAATGCACTGATGCGTGCCCGTCAGTGATGCATTCTCGAGGTGTCAGCACGCAGCTAGGACTTGTAAACTGGTGCCAATATGTCAACGACGTTTTGGAGGGCCGTATAAACGTGGAATAAACCATAGAAAATCGGGGAAAATGGAAAAATAATAGGAGGCCAGGGCTACGCCCACGACACATGTGAGTGCCTGATTAATCACTGAACTATTTATGCTGACTTTGGTAATAGTCAAGAAAGGCCACTAGTTGCAGATATAGATAGTGGTAGAGCCATTGACTTCATTGATGTTGATACCATGAAAGAGTTATGATTTCTCTTCTTTTTTCTTTTATTCTCTCTCCTTCTCTCTCTTCTACTCTCCTTTATATCAGATATCTCTCTTTTCTGAACATTGATACATTAACACTTGTTTAATGAACTTTATATTCAGCATAGTCAGTTTATTACAGTTAGATAATATGTTTTGAGTAGGCAAATACTACAGCATTAAGTGCGATAAATTAGAGTGAATGTAGTGAATATATACTGAATCCACAATGAGTAGTGTAAGAATCTTTGATAAATGGTAATTGAATCACAGATAGCAAGCTGATAATAGTTAGTTAACAGTGAATAGCAGTTAATTAATAATCAATGAACTATCAATTAATAGCTAGTGAACATTCTATAAACAGATTAATGTATTAGTGCTAAATTACTGTTAAGATTTTAAATATAATAGGGAAGGTCAGTTAATTAATATTATTATATTCATTAGCATTAATTAATGCTATTTGATATTAATTAACACTACCAGCTTTTTGAGATGGAGTAACTCCATGGCATCTGCCAGTGACACAGGCACTACTGACAGAATACAAGCCACACTCTTGCATGGGCTTCCTGAGCAGTGTGTCAATAACTGAAAAGCAGCAGCCGCAGAGTTACAGTGGCCGCCAAAAATAACGCACAAGACTACAAAGAGGTGTCGAAATCCCTCTGTATCTCTGTGACCGCTGTAGTTAGCTAGATGATGTATATATCAATCTTACACTAGGTTACTTGTAGCATCTTTCTGAGGTGTCAGTCTGATGCAAGCACTAGGTGCCAGAAAAAATATGGTGAAAATGCTAGAAAATGAATATATATTGCGAAAATCACAGAATAATATAAACCACAGAGTAAAATATGCTTGGGTCCAAGTAAGGTTCTATACTATGTGATGCTACTCTAACAAATTTATAGTATAGCACCCAGTTCAGATGGCTGAGCTGTGAAGACAGTTACACTGATATGATTTATTCATGGAATTGAAATATTTATATCTCCACAGCACCCAGGAATAGAGATACAAGACTTGGTGTACAGGATGATATTTACTAGCAAATGCATGTAGTATCTTGCTATACACACTCCAGCTGTTGGTGATGTCTATAAGATACAAGCATACACTCCTTTATTTTGTAGTAAATAAATATGTCCCCACAACTCAGCCATCTGAACTGGGTGCTATACTATAAATCTGTTAGAGTAGCATCACATAGTATAGAACCTTACTTGGACCCAAGCATATTTTACTCTGTGGTTTATATTATTCTGTGATTTTCGCAATATATATTCATTTTCTAGCATTTTCACCATATTTTTTCTGGCACCTAGTGCTTGCATCAGACTGACACCTCAGAAAGATGCTACAAGTAACCTAGTGTAAAATTGATATATACATCATCTAGCTAACTACAGCGGTCACAGAGATACAGGGGGATTTCAACACCCCTTTGTAGTCTTGTGCGTTATTTTTGGCGGCCACTGTAAAGAAGAAGATGTGGAAAATGTACAATAAGTCAAAGGTATTTGCCTCTGCATGCCATCATGGCTTTATTTTATAGCAGTGTGATATAGTGCGTAGTGGTGAATTGTAAGTATTTCGCTTTTTTCAGCACATATTTTATTGACCAGACTTATACAGAGCTAAATACCCACTGGCCATTGTTACGAAGCCCTCGAAGTGATGCCCAACAATTGGCTCGCCAGTTATAACATCAGCTGTTTTGAAGAAACAACAGTTAAGAACAGCACCTTTGGCCCAAAGTACACCCAAAAACATGCACATATGTGCATGAATACGTTCCACAGCTACTCGCACTCTTACATCTGTTAACTGTACTTTCACCTGAATGTCATAGAGGGCACATCGAGGACTTTGAAACCATGGAGCAGGTCTTCAGTGCATCAAATGATCTCACCCCTGTTATTTAACTAGGATTATGTGGGCCATAGTATATATGCTTGGCAGGTACAATTTCTTCATTTCTTTTATGCTGCAATATAAATAATAATAATGTAGATATTGTAATAGCTTACTATTTATATGAGACTTGGAGCTATATACAGTATCACAAGTTTACTAGTTTCTAAACTGTCTGCTTGGTCAGACAGTGCAAGACTTATTAGATCATATCTGGTGCCTGTAACCAAGCCAGAATTTGAAGAGATAGCCTCTTAAGCCATGCCACAAGGTGGCTGGAAGCTTTGTTCACCTAGGCTCCACTCATATTAGACTGGAATGCTCTTCTGTTTTAACCTGTCTGAGCATGAAGACAGGACAGGGCTTTTAGAGATAGCCCCTGTAACTATGCCACAGAGTGGCTGAAGGCAGTTATATTCCAGGCTCCACTCATTCTCAACTGGGAAGCTCTTTTGGTCTAGCCTGTCTGAGCCAGAAGACAAGACAGAGCTTTTAGAGATAGCCTCTGTAACTATGCCACAAAGTGGCTGGAGGCATTTATAACCCAGGCTCCACTCAATCTCAACTGGATTGCTTTGCTTGTTCAGTCAGTCTGAGCAAGACATGGTAGGCCTTTTATAAATGGTGCCTCCAACCATTTCATTTCTGAAGTTCAGCTCAAGATTTGTGTCAAAGGTTTGTAAGGTGATTTTGTCTAAGAAAGTGCCAGTAGAAGCCACCAAAAGGTTCAGTCAAGGATTCTCCTAGAATATATTCATGAATTATGGATAAGTATTGATCTGTAGAGAGAAGTAAGAGTGGTGAATATGTGGCACATTTCTAGTAATTCCAAATGAATTCCCATTATCTCTAGTATATTTATGGCAGTATCTAGTAGTGGGAGCAATCGATTTGTAACATATCAGGTCATTGCAAACACTTTTGGGTTCACAATTGATTGTGCAACATTGTGCACTGAGGTTTAAAGCCAGAAGCAAACACTTTATCATTGAACCATGACCATAACCTATTCTTATACTCAGCATACAGCTAATGTGTACATTGCAGATGTTATGCTACATAGTATAGATAGATGAAAATGTGTGAGGAAGAGAAGAAGTGACAAAAAAGGCTAGCTGTATTGTGGCACTTATCAGGCGCTTAATCTGGTGTTTTCTCACACTTTGTTCTCTTTGGTTAACTCCTTTAAACAATTAATTTGGTATATCTTTTTTTACATATTCTGGACCCTCTCAAAAAGCTCTGTCTGATGGTATAAAGATCATCTAGATGCCTTTTGAAAGTGGTCCATGTGTGAAATTTGTCCAAGTCCTGAACTCAAGCACAAAACATAGTGCTGAAGAGCCAAAACTGATTCATATGTGATCAAACAAAATTTTACATGTAGATCTATACTAGAGATATATGTGATCCAAGTTTTGAGTCAATGGCTTAAGTATAGCAAGCTATAGAGCAAGGGGCAGATCTGTGTGAGAAAGTAAACTGACTCCCAAAGTGCTACTTTCAACAGAATGTTTCTTCATTACATTCAGAAATTGTAACACGCCTTTGCTTACTGCCATCAGCTCTTAACAAAGGCATGTTTCAAGCAATAGAACACTGACAAGTGCCAAAATACCAGCAATTTCATTCTTGACAACTATATGCAAGTGCTGGAGATCATCAACATTGAAGGCCAAGCCTTTGGGCACAGCATGGACCAGCAAGGAATTGCTGTAGGCGACATCACTCAGTGGCATGATGAAGAGCTTGCATACTTTGCCATGCTGGATAATGAGCTGAAGTATGATGTCTATGCAATGTTGTATGTCAAGCTGCTCCAGAAGCTCTGTGACCTAGAACTAAGGCTCTAATGGGCACAGAATACCCTCCTCACCTACATGCCATCAACAGACAAGCAGACCTACAACTGCATGTTATGCAAACATGCAGGCTGGAAACAGAGCGATGGATTGCAACAGAGCAATATAACCACATCAGCACAGAGATCATCGGCCTTGAGATCAAAATAGATATTCAAAAATGCTGGAGTCCAATAATGCCTGCATATCAAAAAGCTCTCAAGTACATTCATGAGCATATGTACTGGTGCACTCTTGACAAGCTTTATCAGCTAGTTGTGCTGCAGCTCTTTGAGCTTCAGAAGCTCAATGTCTTGCATACTGGTAGATGCTTTATAACCTATACATTTATACTAACACTTAGTGTTGCAAGTTATAAAATGTGCATGTATATTGCAAAGTCACTTTAGGTTCACTCCAAGATGATCAAAAAGCTATCACTGAGTATAACACTGTAGCCATAATGATGAACCCACCACGGCCAATGCTTGATTGGTCAGAAGTCATCTACTATGCCTTTCTGGAGAAGTTTTCACTTCTTCAGAATACCAGAAACAATCTCTGTCAAAAAACCATGAGCACAGCCTATTGCTCACAAGACAATCAAGATGTACCAGCACATTGCTTGTGCGAATAAGGAACTGAAGTGTCTTAACATCAAGGTTCATCGCCTACACACTGCCATCATTGACAAAGATAGGCTGTTCAGAGCAGCTTTGATAAGCTTGGGCCATTTACACCTTCTGTATGGTGCCATGCGTGAGTTTGCTATATGTTGCCATACTATTAACAACCACCTTCTGTGGCGCATTTTTCAAGTCTACAACTTATCTGGGTACACCAGTATCTGAGGGCCTGGCGAAGCTGAAGTCAGCATGGTTATCCAAGTGCATCTTTCCTCTGCCTTTCTTGCAACTGCCCACCAAATTCCACCCTTGCTAAGCCATCCAAATGAAGGCCACAGTGCTAAGGGTGATGTCAGTGACAATGATGATGATAGCAATGGCAATAAGGGTAATAAGGAGGTGCAGAGTTTCATGGCTAATATCATAGAGTATATTGCTAATTTGTCTACGTGTAAAAACATACTGTACACTTGTTCTTTGGAAAGCTACAATGCTGTGAGCATTTCATGACAATCTTGTGACGTTGATGGCACAGTCCTGAAATTGAGATTTCAGTGCTAAAGCTTAGAACAAGTCCACCTGCGAGTTAACTCAGAGCCAAACCTGTGTGTGCAATCTGTTTCGAAGTAGTTACTCAGAGCCACATGGGTATTTCTCACAGATCACTCATACTTGCAGGTATTAAACTCATGAGTCACGGCTCAACTCACAAGTCTCTAGGTAGTCTCACATATATTCAGGTCTGGCATGTACGTGTACATATTATTTATCAGAACTATCATCTTCTTCAATGATACCAGAGTTGCAATTGCCTTCTGAGCCTGATGACAGAGCAAGCATGTCTGCATCATCAGTTTGATGAACTCCTAGGGGCTTATCACCATCAGCTGCTTCATTCAGTTCTGGTGTAGCTTTAGGTGTAGCAACAAACCCAGAAGCATCAATGTTGGCTTCTAGAGAGGACTCGGCTAAGAGAACTGTAGCCTAGAAGTCATCTTATGAAGTGCACAACATATCAGTGAGGACAAGAATATACTCACCTTAGAGTCAGTAACCAGTCGCTTAGTGGAATCACTATTGATTGCTTCTGACTGATTGGCTTCGACTTTAGCTTTTGTGAGTTCACTAGTGAGCATAAGCTCGCGTATGCTCCACTCGATAACAGAACAGATGGTGGAACCTAAGCGGTTTTGAATGGCGGGATTTGAGAGAATTTTGTATGTGTTGAACTAATGGCTGACATTGCGCAGTTGGTTGAGATGTTGGTGGAGCATCCAGCCATAGCAGCGAAGTGGAATCTACTTTAGACATGAGACCAGACCCGAAACTATGGAGTCCATGGACACACCTGCTCATCGCACCCTTCAATCTCAATCAGCTCCATAAAGTATGTACACCCAGTAGACCCATCTGTCCAATGGTCCAATATGATGCAAAAGCGTGGGCTGTTCTGTAAGGCATTCATGAGCACTAGGACATGCGTCAAGAACCAAGAGGGCTTCAAGCTCCTAAGACGACCACCTATCTGTTTTAAGGTCAGAAAACAGGTGAGATCTATTCTGTCTCAGAAATCATCGTTAGATAGAATGTTAGGGGCTGAAGGCTCGCCGTGTGGATGAAGATGCCACAGAGCACTGTTGAAGTGAAACACGGACAGCTAGGCACTGGTCTTGAGATTTGAACATAAAACTCTGCGCTTTGTTTGCAAGCTTAATGATCAACACCTGCCCTCCTCCACTCGCCACAGTGCTTTTGTATATCTAATGGTATGCCTGGTATATCTTCTTCTTGTTTTCTAGTGGCTAATAGTGGTCGAATCTCAGAGAGAGACGAGAGACCGGGCCTACAGGGGCAATAGGTGCTGGCTGTGCTAGGTGCAGCATGGCTCCAACAGCGGAGGCAAACTACATGATCTGATGGCCTGGTGAGTCATCTAAAAACCCGTAGGTTTATTAATCTGATCACAACTCATTTTATTTTAGAACATGACTCAGTACAAGTTTGTAGATTTATCACCCAGACGACACTTCATTGACTCTTGGTCTATCCAGAACTCGACCTGAACAGGCCACATGGCTGCCCGTTTCCACACACTGAGCTGCATGGCTGACACTTGTGGTGAACCTGGCAACATCCCCTCATTTTCCTTTGTTAGTACCTCTTTCGACACATGTCTCCTTACTCCTATGGCCAAATGTAAAGCAGATGATGCTGACCTCAGTGATGAAGATGATGTCGCAGAGGTTTCGGCACCAGAAGCTACCAACAAGACCAAAGATGATGAGCAAAAGAAGGCTCACTTTGAGAAGAAGTACAAGGTGTCAGAGCACACCAAAGAAGAAGTTCTCGGTACGTGCTCTTAGCTAATAATAAAAGCATTGCTCCAGCTCATGCACATCATAACAGATTCACAGCATGCAGTCTGGCGTTTGAAAGTGTACAAACACTTTCATCCACCAACAATTGTGGTAGTTGACAGCAAAATCAAGTACAAGTTTGTCTATCAGACAAAGTAAGTACATGCCCTTCTTATTTGCTGCCGACATCTTTATCTCTCACCAGTCTGTCAGCCAAACCACTAAATCGTGCTCAGTGGGGCAATTCAACAAGTAATTTAATATGACATGTTACTGCATGTACGAAGGCTGCAGTACCACCGATGGGTCAACGCTCTATCGGTGCCTTTGTGCAAAGCTCAACATACAATCCAGCCAAATTTCAGTATAAGCTAGCGATTTGAATTGCCTGTCACCATCATCCATATGCTATTGTGCAAGACCCCGAGCTCGTTGAGATCTTGCAAATGCTCAACTCAAAAGTCGACATCCCCCATCCAAAAACTGTATCGCGGAACGTTCATGAGATCTTCACAATCTCACGGGAATCTGTTGGCAAGATTCTCCAGGTATGTTACTTATACGGCACATGTTTGCTTGTACTTTCTTCTGACATTTTCTTTTAGGCTCATTCTGACCATTTGCACCTGTGCATTGATGGCTGGACATCTCCCAATGTCATTCCCTTTTTAGGAGTTACAGTTCATCGTGTCCATGGTGGCA